AATTGAATTGAATTGAATTGAATTGAATTGAATTGAATTGAACATTTGAAAGGTAAAGATGAGTTTTGGAAGTCTGTGTTTTGGTCTGATAAGACTAAACTGGAACTGTTTGGGCACATGGATGTTGCTTATGTTTGGCCAATAAAAAGACAGGCCTTCCACCCTAGGAACACAGTTCACACAGTTAAACATGGTTTGGGGCTATTTTGCAGCCTCAGGCACAGGGAGCCTTGTTCGGGTGGATGCCATCATGAAAAAAGAAAATTATGTTGACATTTTGAGGGGGGATATGTAAAAATCTTCTCGTAGTCTAGGCTTAGGTCATTGCTGGGTCTTCGAACAAGACAATGACCCAAAGCATACATTGAAATTAGTCCAACAGTTCCTCAAGGATACCAAAACCAAGATCCTGGAGTGGCCCGCACAGAGCCCAGACCTCAGTCCTCAGTCCTATTGAGAATTTGTGGCAAGTGCTCAAAGTGAATGTCCATGATTGGAAACCGTGCAATTTAGACCAGCTAGAAAGATTTGCAATGGAGGAATGGACTAAAATCCCTCAGTAGACCTGTGCCAACCTAGTAAAGACCTACTCTCAGAGATTGTTGTCGGTTGTGATTCAGAAAGGGTACAGTATTGTCTACTATTGGCAATAGGGATAATAATTTTGGATGTCTCATTTTTGCCCTTTCTTGTTTCAACTCGGTGTATCAATAAAATATCCTAATTAAACTTAGTGGACATTGTTATCTTGGAAACAGATACACTATAAAAACAAACACTTGTTGTTAGCGGTCATTTTCATATTGAAATCAAGAGTGTTGTCTAATTTCACAAGGGCTAATAATTTTGGCCTAAACTGTATAAAGTACAGCAGGACAAGTATTGCCAGGGACTTCAATACAACCCCATATTTGTCTTCTATTTATGCATAAAAAATAACATCTGTGATTGGCCTTCTTTTGATTTTTTAGTTGTTTTGTGTATTTGTCAGACTTAGAAGTTTCAGATCATCATACAAATTTATATTATTTTATATTAAAATATTTTTTTTTATATTAAACAAAGATAATCCAGAATTAATACAAGTTCAGCAATTTTGGCAGCTACTAAATACACACAAATGATTATAACTAGGGCTGTCAACGTTAATGCATTAATGCGGATTAATCAGTCATCACGATTAATGCAATTACATTTTTTAATGCAATTAACGTATCTGGAACTCAAAATCCCTGAAATGTCTCTTTCAACGCATTTTGGGCAGTTTGTCCAAAGTTTGTCCATTCTGCGCTCCAGGTTTTGGCCTGGAGCGCAGAATGCATTAAAAATTTTAATCATGTTAATCGTGATGACACGTTAACGTTGACAGCCCTAATTATTACTGATCACTTTTTTTCAATTTCACTAGTCCCACTCAGGCCTGGTAACTGCCAAACTTGCTTAATCAAGAAATCACTTAAATAGAGCCTGTCTGACAAAGTGAATTAGACTAACAGATCTCAAAAAGCAACACATCATGGCACAATCTAAATATACTGCTGAGAAACTAAGTCATTGACAACTATAATTCTGGAAATGGTTACAAAGCCATTTCTAAAGCTTTGGGACTCTGGTGAACTACAGTGAGAGTAATTATACAGAAATGTAGAAAACTTGGAACAGTGGTAAAAGCTTCCCAGGAGTGACTGGCCCATGAAAATTACTCCAATAGTGCATAAACGACTCATCCCCGAGGCCACAAAAAACCCCAGAACAAAATCTACAGAACCACAGGCCTCAGTTGCCTCTCACTTAAGGTCAGAGTTTAGAAAGAGACTGGACAAAAATGACATCCATTAAGGAGTTCAAGGAAAAAACCACTGCTGACAAAAAACAAACAAAAAAAACAAACAAAAAAAATTTGATGATCCCCAGGACTTTTGGGAAAATATTCTGTAGACTGATGACACTTAGTCTCATCACTTTTTGGAGTGTTTGAGTCCCGTTGCATGTGACATAAAACTAAAATCAGATTGAGATGCTGAGGCATGACTTTAAATAGACAGTTCATGCTGCAATGTGTTTGAGTTACAACAATTCTGCAAAGAAGAGTGGACCAAAATTCCTCCACAGCTATGTGAAAGACTCATTGCCAGTTATCACAAATGCTTGATTACAGTTCTTGCTGCCCAGGTTGGCCCAAACTATTTTTAGGTTTAGAGGACAATTACTTTTCACATACGGCCATGGAGATTTGGATAACTGTCTTCCCTTAATAAATGAAACTGTCATTTAAAAACTGCATTTTTTATTTACTTGGATTATCTTTGTGTATAATTAAAATACGTTTGATGATCTAATACTGGCTAATAAATGTTGAGAGACTGAGATGGATTTCAACAGATTTATCACAGTAGTTAGCACCATGACTGCCACTTCTGTAGAAATGGATGACATTGGATTTAGCATTCACCTTCAGGATGATTTTGAAATGGTTTCATACAGAAATTATCCCATATCCACGTGGTGCATAGGGAAAGGGAACATTGAAAGTGCTTTTACCTTGTCATGTTTCAAGGAAGACATGAAGCTGGAGGCGAGGCGCAGTGAAGATGTGTAACAAGAACATTAAAACAACAAATTATGGCAACCAAACAGGTCATAGTATTATACTGGAAAGCTTGTATTTGATACAGAGCAGTAAAATAAACTGTTGTAAATGTCAGTAGGCACACTGTAAACAGATGGTAAGTCTAGCTGCTAAGGTTTTACTGTAATCTAACAATGACATTTATTGCAGTGCTGAAAAAAAAAACACCAACTGTGCAGGATTATGGTTGGTGAGGCATTTTAAGCACGTTTTTCTCCACAGTATGATTAGAAGCGGGTATTACATGTAAAGTCTGCACAGACCATCCAAACTTTCTGACTGTTTAAACAGGCGATCATAAAAAAATGTTTACCTGTCCTTATGTGTTGTGTTGCATCATTACAGTATATTTGTTTTAACACCTCAGATTGGCCCAGTGCCTCAGTGGCAAAGAAGTGCTACCTAACAGAGTCATGATGAAACAAGGAAGCTTGCTAATGAGAGGCACCTCACTGGTACTAACCACTGAAGGCAGTTGTTTTGCTGATGGGTGAGAAGCTATAATTTGATCTCAAAGGTATTATTATTTGTGTGTATTAGTTTAATGAGTTTGCTGAATGTTTTGGGGGATTAGGTGATGGAGGGGTCTGGGGGCCAAGTGAAGGTATTGTTGTAGTCTGTTACAAATTACAAACCCAATTCTGAAAAACACTCATATTTCCCTAATAGAACATAGAAAACATAAAATTTTGAATTCTGTGGCAGCAACATACTTCAAAACATTGAGATTAGGGGGGTGGGGCAACAAAAGGTTGGGAAAGTAAATTTTACTAAGAGCAAACAGATGGATGAACATTTTCTAACCAGATTGATTCATAGGTACTGATCAGTGACATGATTGGGTATAAAAAGAGCATCTTAGAGAGGCAGAATTTCTCAGACGTTGGGGTTCGTCAAGCTGCAGTAAATGTTTCTAATATGTGAAATTGTGAGGACTTTGAATAATTTATTTTCTACAGACCATAATTTCATCAAAAGATCTCTCTGTGCGCAAGGGATGAAGCCAAAGATCAGTACTGTATGCTTGTGATCTTTTGGCCTTCAGGCAACAAACTAAATGATTTTGTGAACCTGGAAAAAATAACTAAAATAAAACAAAAATATTGAGTAAATATCTTTAGTTTTAGTATTTGTTAGTTTGGTAAAAACAAAGCTAAAAAACAATTTGCCTGATTTGGGATGAGTGTTTATTGAGACTGATATCTATCTCTGGGGCGATCGTGGCTCAAGAGTTGGCAGTTCGTCTTCTAATCAGAAGGTTGCCAGTTTGAGCCCCAGCTCCGACGGTCTCGGTCGTTGTGTCCTTGGGCAAGACACTTCACCTGTTGTCTAGTGGTGGTGGGCAGCTGTGGCTACAATGTGGCTTGCCATCGCCAGTGGGTGGATGACTGAATGTAGTGTAAAATGCTATACAAATACAGGCCATTTACTGAGCTGATTGAGTCAGCTGCTTTCAAAATTTTATTTTAATACCTGTACTAATTTTCCTGCTTCCTTGTCTCTGACATATGCCCTCCGTAACATAATTATAAAGACTAAAACTAACACTGAAACTAATAAAAACTGAACTAAACATAATAAAAGAATAAACTGAAATAAGAAAATCAGCTCTGGAAACTAACTGGAACTAAACTGAATTGAAACCAAAAACTCAAAATAAATAATAAATACAAAAAAATGCTAATAAGAAAAAAACAAAACTATAAAAACAAAATTTGTTTTTTGTACAAAGGGAAGGGTGGCCATTTTAACAAAATGAAATTTTCATTTTATTAATTCATTTTATGTACTTATTTATTTGTTTAACTTTTTCAGACTAAAAGAAAACAATGATGTATTGCTGGCAAAATATTACACTGGCTTGTCAATAAATAGATGGATTTTAGTAGATTAAAAAAATGTAACATGCCTGTAAATAATTCCAAAATGCAAATTTTTAGTCCCTGTTTTGGGACTAAAAATGTTTCAAATAAGTAAAAAAAAAGGTTAGGAGTGACGTCACCGTGACGTTGTTGTATATAGGACTTTGGCGCGTGATGTCATGGCGGCGTGCCCCCTTCCACGATGACAGTAGGCCAGACAAAGCACATGGAAGCGTCAGCTATGGTTCGTACGTACTGTGTTGTCGGTTGCAACAGTAGATCACACGATAGGGAAGGCAAGAAGCTGGAAAATGGGATCTTTTCATCGTTTCCCCTCCTGGGGTCTGTTTCAGAAAGCGAGTTTAGAAAACTCGGAGTTAAAAATGATACTCAGGGTTGAGTAACCCCGAACTGTCCAACTCGGAATATTCGGTTTCAGAAAGGCTGATAACAATTAGTTCAATCAACGCGGAGTTGCTTTAACCCCAAGTTAAGCGCGCGCACGAGGATACATAAAGCCCTGATTAGTGGAGCACATAAGCGAGTCACCATGGAGACGGAGGGAAAGAAGGCGCGGTCAATGTATTTTACAGCGCTTGAGGCCGAAATTCTGATGGCAGCATATGCCGATAACATGCAAATTTTGCGGAAAAAAAGTAACAGCCTCAGCTGCAAAAGAAAGGGAGCATGCATGGCAAAACATAGCCGACAGAGTCAATGCATGAGTGTTAATTTAAACATTGATCTAGGGATTTCCACCCATTTAACACGTTATTTTATTATATTTTATTTTATTTTTTATTTTATACATTTCATTTTGTGATGTGATGTGAGCGCAGGTGCAACCCAACAGGCCCCAAACGTTCCTGGCAGCAAGTAAAAATGAAATATAAAAATATAGTCCAAACAGGTAAGGTGTAATTGTATTATGAGCCATAGTGCTTGGTCTGTTTGTCCTACGTTAATCAATTGCAGTTAGAGGCTACATTAATTTTCTTTCTGTAAGCACTTATTGAAATTATCTGAGCACATTACAAGTACATATTTGCTTACTCTGTATGCTCAAATGTGACTCGTTATAGCCAACAGAAAAAAAGCGGAGGCCCGAAAAACAGGTGGGGGTCCTCCACCACCACCACTCACAGAGGCTGAGCAGTTGGCCCTCAGCCAAAACAGTGGGCGCCATGTGGCTGAAGGCATCTCTGCGGGGACATCCTCTGAGTCAATAACCCCGCAAGACACAAGTGCCTACATAAGAGGTAAATTCAAAATAATACATGATGTGCATACATCCTTTCTTCACAGTCACCTTTGCAGTGCTACTCATTCATTTGATAAACTCTTTACCATAACGAATTATGTTGTAGTGAAGTTATTTTCCTACTGATTTTGCCTTCCCTCAGTCTTGGTTGTCTTTGAGAGCATAATGATAATGAAGTGTAAGGTGATTGGTATATGTTTTTTAATTGCCATTTGGTCCCCTGTAAGTTATAAGTGACCTGTATAAACCTCATATTCTATCAGTTGATGGTGATGGTGTACTGCATCTGGTGCAGCCTCCTGTTGAGCCAGACCAACATGCAGTTGTGAGTACTCTTAATACTCCACAGATTATATGAGTTTACAGTAGAACAGCAATGTTATTAATTTCTTTACTACAGGAAAATAATGAAGAAACATTGACAGCTGTTACAGAGGAGGAAGCAACAGAGACACTTCATGAGGTTTACATCTTACAATGGAAAATATAACAATTGAATAAAATGTGGTACTATAATAAAACCATGGACTTTCTATATCTCTAACAGAGTGATGATGGAAATGAAGAGGAAGAGGGTCCAGCCACTTCTCCAACAAACCTTTCCTCAGTAAGATGTTCAGCACTGATTTACAACCAACCTAAGTAGGCATGTACTATGAATGTCAATGCTATTTTCTGTGTTTCAATAGCTCCCTGTAAAGCAGCTGTACAAGACCTATTTGATCAAGAAAATAAAAAAAATGCGACTTGGAAATGGAAAACTTCAAGCAGCAGATCCAAAAGACCAAGATTGAGATTTTACTGCTGGAACATCAGTTAAGGGTGGGTGAAGTGGTCAGAGATGGACGAATTATTTCAGTGTTTGAACAACATAATAATATACTTATTAATAGTTTGTGTACAGGAAATACAGGCAACCAATAAAGCCAGTTGAACAAAAAATCTGTTTATTCTTCTTTCAACATGTTGAGGTGATGGGTCAAAGGAAATGATTGTGACATATGGTGTCTCTGACTGCTCTTCCATCTTGTATGTCCGTGGGAGGGTCAGGATGTTCATGGTTTGGATCACTGCAGATGTTTGGTTCAGAAGGACAGTGTTCTCCTCTAATTGTGGCAATGTTGTGAAGAATCACACATGCCACAATAATGTCACATGCCCTTTCTGGGGTGACCCTGAGTCTTTGAAGGCACTGGAACCGGGCCTTAAGCATTCCGATAGTCATTTCAACTCTGGCTCTTGTCCTGCAATGAGCCAGATTATATCGCTGCTGTGGGCCCGGTTCAGGGTCAGGGTAAGGGGTAAGCAAATAGGGTAAACATGGATACCCCCTATCACCAAGCAAGTAGCCAGTGAACTCTCCTAAGACAGAAGGATACACTTCAGTTCAAATGTCCCTGTGGCAATTAGTCTTTATATATTTTAAAGTATTTTCAACTCACCAT